GAAAAGCCTGCATGTGAACAAAATAAAATTATAAGAACTACATTAAAAGTTTAGAGTACCACACCCAAATGCAGAATTGAATGCATACATTGCAAAATTAAGAAGATGGAGTTCCAGAACGTGGGGGAGGGAAGGAAGGGTATGATGAAAGTTATTTCGGATTCTCACCCCATTCACATTTCGACTACTGCAAGCAAGCCTTCCAGTCTTCAAATTTATGAGGGCTGATACATCTTTCCCAGGAATCATCCTCTGTTGACATATATCACACATTCTCCCTAGAGCTAAACGCTGTTGCCGCCTCAACTCTCTTCTTATAGACTTGTTTAAAATAAATCTTGTGTGCAGAAGCTGATCGTCGTACCGGTCTAAAAGCAACTTTGATGATGCACCACTGGATGCAGAGGAATCTTCCCCACATGAATCATACTGATTACTTAGAGATTCACTGATATCCTCAGGGTCAGAAAAGGACTTCTTTCTCTTACTGCTGCTGCCTTCACCATTTTCTGTTTCTACCGAAGGACTGGAAGAGAGAAGCATCTTTACATCATCAAGCAACCCCTTTCTACCTAAATCAATATTGTAACAGAAGGTAACAACAGCGAAGTCGTGCTCAGGAACTTTTAAATGATACTCGTTGCCAATAGCTTTTTTCCCCAACCATTCACACCATATTCTACCAATACCTTTTGACACCTTATCCTTCTCAAGGAATCTTGCAGCAATTTGTCCCAAGCCTACCTTCTTCGCTTCTATGTCAGTAACATCATCCCTAACCAGAACACTAGGGATCACTACAGAGGAATTCACTTCATTAGCAGTTGAATTCTCATTAGAGCAACTAAATTTGAAATTTGAACGAACCCTCGGAAAATCTAAAGAGCCATTACATTCAAGACCATCAGTACCAACATGCTCATTGCCATTGGATATCAGATTTTCCCCATACTTGACAATAGCAAGATTGTTTTCATCGTCAGGAGACTCCAACATCCTAAATTTATTGTCATCTGTAATCACCAAATGTTTATCAGTCTCATCTGGATTATGAAAGAAAGCCACACCATCGTTAAAAGGCCACGGGTTTGGTCGCAACAGAGTAACCTTAGCAGCAGCTAACCTGTCCTTGTGAAGATTACCCTTCAAGTGATCAAACAGCACCTTATCACTATAACATGGAGCCAGACACAAAGTACAGAAGAAAATGAACTTTTTCCCATCTTCTCGGAGCTCAACATATGTGTGCCCTTGCGACCTCACATTGCGAAGAATTGTTCTTGTTGCCTGCTCTCTAAGACTACTAGCACTAGTCTTTGGAAACCCGAGCTCCCACCTTTCCGCCATTAAAGCTTCCCACCAAAAATCAAGTTCAACTTCAAATGTCCCTCTACTTCTTTCAATAACACGAGCTGAAAGTCAAACTTCACTTGTGTTGTTTCAAGAGATATTCAAGCCACAGACAATTTACCAAGCATGTGAAAACCTAAGAAGCTCAACTCCACGAGAATTTCCCGAACCCTAGAATTTATACATGAACCACCGTTCTTCATAAACACCACAGAACTTCCAAAATCGACTAGAATCCAAAACACAAGTTCTCCTAAATTCACCGTAACCTAGAGCTTCCGTTTCCAATTCTTCAAATTCAGGTACAAAAAGAGCAATTGAAGACGACAATAACAACTCTAAAACTATGTAAATCTAGAAATTAGCACAGAAAACCGGAAAATTACTTATTCGTAGCGTACTCTGTATAGGATTCTTTAGAAACCGCGGCGCTCGTCCGTCAGATTGCAGAGCGTAACGAGCCATGAAGAGAAGCGAACGAGAGCATGAGTCCTCCATAGCCATCTCCATTTCACTCGAAGCTCGACAGAAACTCCGTAGCTGTTTGGAGGGAGAGAAAAAGTGGGGGAAAATCAAATGGAAAAGGAAGTGAAGGAAACCAAACAGTTGAGATTTCAATTTTCTGAATAATTGCTTTAGGCTTCACGCTATCTTTGTTCTTATAATTGTAACATTTGATTAGTTATCCTCTGCTTCGCGGAGTACGGTAAAAGGATCAGATGGTGAAGTACTGATTCTGAACCGTTGGATTTGTTAGTTTGAAGTTGATGAGTCGTGATCAACACTGCAAAAGTGAGGAGGGAGAGAGCATATCCGAATTTTGAACAGAATTAAATGGGTTTTTAGGTGTAGAGTTCGGACAAAAATGGATAAGGATGCGAACTGTCTGGTGGATGCCATTTTTGTTAATACAAATTTTTTATTTTTTATTTTTTATTTT